ATCATAAACCTCTTTGACTTTTGTGATATATATCATCTGTTATAATTGGAGTAGATATTTATGCTACGGACAATCAACATTTCCACTAGAGATGCACCGAATAATGACCGAACAAATGGTCGATCCACTATCCGACCGAATAGCCGAAGTTCGAATTTCAAAATACCGAAACTTTAAAAAATAGTTTTTTTAGAATGTAAAGCAAGCTATTGGAAAGCTATTAGACGATTCAGATCTATCCAAAAATTCTTCATCCGGATAATATTCAATCTCGTGTTCAAATAATAATTAATATAATTATAATTGCCATAATAATAATAATGATAATGGTAATGGTAATAATGATGATAATAATGATAATAATAATAATAAAAATGATAATAATAATGATAATAATAATAATGATTATAATAACAATATTTCTAGAACAACAACAACCTGACTCTTCAACATCATTGTAGTTGTAGCTACCTGCCAACTCAAATGCGTTGCTGCTGCTGTTGTTGTTGTTATTGCTGTTGTTAACGATTGATAAGTTACCATAAAAACTACTGTTGTTGTTGATGTTGTTGATAATATTAAGGTTATTATTGCTACTGTTGTTGTAACCGTTCGAGTATTTATAAAGGTCGTCATTATTATTTACTGTTTTCCCATCTGAGTTGTTAATGTTGATTTTAGTATCAAAAAAATTATCATTGTATATATGGTATCTTTCTATTTTATCATTTTCCGGTCTGTTTATTTCCGGGCCAAAAGTCATAAACCCTATTTTAGACTGAATGTTGTTGTGGTTGATTTGTTGTTCTTGTTGGTGTTGTTGGTAGTGCCGCTGGTGGCCTGGATGTCGGTGGTGATGATTGTGATTGAATTGTTGAAGAAGGTGGTGATGATGATGAGTGAGATTGTGAGGAAGCAGATGCTCTGATGGAACTTTCGAGATGAATTCCATGCAGTCCAAGTTGGAATACTTGCCCGAGAACATGGATTTGTATCTGCTGCTGCTGTTGTTGCTACTGTTGTTGCTGCTGTTGTTGCTGTTGTTAGCAGTTGTATTATTGTTTTTGTTGTTATTTTCCATGTTATTATTGATGTTGTTATTGTTAATGCTCTTCGCCCACCCATCCACGACATTGTTCATGTTTTTGTCGTCTGTGGTTGGGTCTGCTAAATTTGCAGCTGCGGAAGTTGTGGTTGTCGTACTGGCGGTGTTGGTGGTCGTGTCAGCGGCGTATGGACTTCTGCTAAAACCATTACTTGAACTTTTGAATGTGGTGAAGTTGTGAGGAAGGAAGGTGTTGATGCCGTTGTTGAAGTAGGGGAGTCTGCCACCGTAGCCACTAGTCATGGCCGCCGTCATGGCTGTCAGCATGTTTTGCTGTAGAACGGATATGTAGGCCATGGGAAGATTTTTTGTGAAGTTGGAGTGGTTGAGAAAAAGTGGCAGATTCTGGGGACGATGTGATGCTGCGGATGTCGGCTGGAGCAGAGGCATTGTTGGTGCTATCTGGTGAGGTTGTTGTTTTTGTTGTTGTTGTTGTTGCAGGTGTCGTTGTTGTGTCGGAGAAACTACAAAGGGAGAAAGATTTGGTGGGCTTGTTTCTTTGGCTTGTTGGAAGTGATTTTTTATTTGATGGTTGAAATTGTGTTGTTGCTGAAGTTGTAGTTGTTGTTGCTGTTGTGAATATTGCTGTTGTTGTTGTGAATGTTGTTGTTGTTGATTGTTATGTGGC